CACCTGTGAGGCCAGGCAATGTGCAGAGGTCTTTGCTGATAGTCCAGTCCACTCAAGATATTAGAGAGGTTAAAAGTCAGACGTTGCTTATCTTCCCCTTGACAAGGATTTGTACTTTCTGGTGCTTCAGCCTGGACTGGGACTGCTGGTGGGCAGGGCAGCCCCTCGTGCTGTGTGGTGCAGAGTCCAGGCTGGGGCTCACAAAGTCCAGACTCAGGATGTGCATCACTGGTTTTCATTACAGCTCTGCTCTCCTGCTGGCCAGGCAGCCCCTCCTGATAAGCATCTCCATTCCTTTTAACACCAATTACCTTTTCCAAACGGGCAAGTTTATGCTCTGGCATGAACCTGGGAGGAAAAAGAACAAACAAACAAAAAAAAAATCTGTATTGTGTTTATGCTGGATTAAAGTTTCACCTGACTAATTAAGTAATAGCACATTAAAAGGTAAAATATGGTTGATATTTTACATCCATCTAAACGACAACATGAATTCAGGAAGACACACTTTATTTTAGTGAATGTGACACCTGTGAAATAAAACAATGTGTTCCCTAATGACAGATGTATCAACAGGGAAAACAAAACTATTTACCTGCTAAATAAAAAATAATGCAAACACCTAATGCAAACAAGAAAATAATGCAAGAAAGAGGGCAACTCTGCCAGGAAAGTTTTGGAATTTCTGCCAGTATTACTTCTAAGATTGATAGCAATCAATCCTAGCTATAGAGGCCTTCTTGTTCTTTACAATTATCTGAAAGGAGAATGGAGCTGGGTGGGGATCAACCTCTTCTCCCAAGGAACAGCAATAGATTCCCTGTGTTTAGAAGTACAAATTCAGTATGACTGAATTCCATACACAGAATCCTACAATCAAGGAATGGTTTGGGTTGGAAGAGAACCTGAAAAACCATCTCATTCCAAGCCCCCTGTCACAGGTAGTGGAAGGGACCCAGGTTTCTCCAAGCTCACCCAGCCTTGGCCTTGGACACTTCCAGGGATGGGGGAGCCACAGCTTCTCTGGGCACTCTGTGTCAGGGTCTCCCCATCCTCACAGGGAACAATTCTTTCCAATACTCCATCTAACTGTCCTCTGCCAGCTGAAGCCATTCCCCCTTGTCCTGTCCCTCCATCCCTTGTCCAATGTCCCTGTTCACTCTCCTGCAGGCCCTTTAGGCTGTGGAAGGGACTCTGAGGTCTCCCTGGAGCCTTCTCTTCTCCAGGCTGCACAATCCCAATTCCCTCAGCCTTTGGTCACAGACCTAACACTGGCTGCTGGTGGCTCCTCTGAAGCACAAACACAGGCCCATCAGGATGTACTTTTAAATATTTACACATGGGAAAAGCTGAAGCAGAAACAGGTTAGAGGTTTTCCTTAAACTACCAAGTTGTGACTACATTGAAAGGACTGATTTATCAACCCAAATTTAACTAAGATATTTTGAAAAATTACTGCTGTTAAGACAAATTGCTTGAGGTGTGAGAGGTCAGGCTACCTAGGCAGGCTCTATCCCCCTGCCTGTCTTTAATCTCCTGGCCAACCATCCACTCACTGCACCACTTCTGTTTCTGAACAGGTTTCCTCCTTAGTTTTCAACCCTTATAAATCTGATCTGTCATTGCAGAATTCCTAATAATATTAGATAAAACTCCACCGATTTCTCTCTGGAATATACTCTTTAATATCTTTTATTTAAGACATGTGTGTGCAATCAATTCCATGGTATTTACTTGTATTACACACACAGTATTCATCATCTTGACAATTTTTTAAAGTTTTAGAACACCATTTCACTTAACAGTTTGAAAAAAAAAAAGGAGAGAGAGAGATTTATTTGATGGTTAACTTTGGAACAAGTTATCTGCATTAACTTCCATTGTTTTGGCATAAAGTAGTTCTGTATATTTTACTAACAACAGTGGAGACATGATAAAAGATGTAGGCAGAGAGCCATAAACAGCTCTTGCTGCAATCCATGGTGTTCATGGAAAGGCATTAATTTTTGGACTTTGATTGGAAGACGTCTTTGTGCTCAGCCACTTGGATTTTGCTAAATACAACCACGAATAAAACCTTGTACCTGAGGAGAACAATTTCTACGGCGGAAAGACCATTGTAAATCATGTGTAGTATAAACTTGTCCACATGATTGGAATGATATAATGGATATTGGAGTCCCTAACCACCAGCTAATGTTCTTTATGACACTTAAATAAATGACCTGAAAATAAACTAATAACAACACAAAGTCATCTAAACCTGTTCTCGTGCATTTCCCAGAAGCATGCTGGGAAAAGACAATGTCTAGTTTATGCATTTTTTGTGTTTACATTTTCTCCAGCACATTTTTGCTCCTCCAGACTCACATTAATTTTTCTTTTCTGCCACCTTCCAGAGGTATCTCTCCATCCCAGTACTTGCCCAGATCTCAGTCATTTAAAACATCAAGAGCATGCAGGACTTCTACATGACCATGATGGTTATGAAGAAACAAGGCTGGAGCAGGGCCAGACACAGGCTTGAAAGAGTAGCTATAAGAAAGAATGTTTTAAATTTTTAATTTTTTTTTTTTTTGTCATAAAGGTTGTGAAACACTACACAGAGAAGCTGTGGCTGCCCCTGGATCCCTGGAAGTGTCCAAGGCCAGGCAGGAGAAGGCTTGAAGCAACCTGGGATAGTGGAAGGTGTCCTTGCCCATGGCAGGGGGTGGAATGAAATTATCTTTAAAGTCCTTTCTAACCCAAACTACTCTGTGATTCTATAAAACCACCTAGAGAGCTACCACAGCAGAGAAGTGGAATTTCATTTTTGAGAAGGACACACAATTTTTCTTAATCTTAGTTACAAAACACAATGCTCATGCAGGAAAAATGCCTCAATATTCTATTTTAAATATGGGAGAAGCATTTCATTATTACTAACTTGTCGTAATGAACTCTTGCACATGTGAAACTGTCCAGAAAAAGAATTATCATCAAAGCTTACAAATATTAACACTTTCAACATATTCCAAAAGGTACTGTCCTTTATATTTAAAAAAAACATGGTAAATGTTTTACTTTTATGCATAACTCATATCTATTTAAACACTGGAAGTTCAGAACAAACAGTGAGGACTTAGATACCTAATTTTAGTATGGCAACTTATTTTCAAATTTCTTTTATTTATTCAGATTTTTGAGGCTTTCCAACACATTGAACAGTCAATATTAAAACTTTATGAAGGCTCTATGAAGAGTAAGCCTTGAAAACTTTCCTTTTTTGCATACTGGGTCTAGATGTTTAGTTAAAAAGTTGGGTTAAATACTAAACTAAGTTCATATGTAATAAAAATTCAATATCCTGAAATTCAGAGTTTCAATCTAAATATTTGCTACTGTGAGTAACAGATTTTTTAACTCACAACCTATATATTATATATTTTCTTTTCATTTATGCCCACAAAACCCCACTCTGAAGAAATCCATGTACTTTTCCCTGAAGCAGAAATGTGTTTCCCACACACGTTTCTTTTTTGTAGTATGTTGCCATGTTCCACTGTATGTGTTTATTCACTGCACTTTATTTGCCCTAATGAAAAGTTATTTATGGGGATTGGTTTCTTTTCCATGGCATCAAGAGTCACTTTGTGCACCATTTTATTAAAGACAACAACAACAAAAAAGGATGGAAGGGCCATGATGTCACTGCTCGATGAATAGAAACCACATTAGAAAGATGAACTGGAGTACTGGTTTAGGTTAGACCAAATTACACAATCAGCTCAAGAGACTGCAAGGATAGATGAATAAAGAAATAGATTTTTTTAAAGTAATAAAAATTGGCCCTTCTGTAAATATAGTTACATTTGGGTGCAAAGTTAGGGTTCTGAAAGTGCAATGGGTATTTTTTTTAATACTGCCATTAAAAAGTTTAAAAATAACAGAATTATGGAATGTTCTGTGTTGGAAAGGACTTTAAGGATCATCCCATTCCAACCCTCCTGCCATGGGCAGGGACACCTTCCACTAGACCAGGTTGCTCCAAGCCATGCACACCTATAACTGTAGAAATACCAAAGTTGTTTTTCCAAAACTCAAGAATTTGGCTGCTTCTACTCTAAGAAATAAAGTTAAAAAAAACCAACCAAACAAACAAACAAACAAACAAAAAACAAACAAACAAACAAAAAACCAAAACCAGATTTTTGGGTGCCAAACTGGAACAGACAGCAACTCCATTAGTATATACTTATTTATATATAAAACCACACAATTATATTTCTATCTTTAAAATTATGAATCGATAACAGTAAAACTGATGCTGTTTTTATTTAGCTACTTCTCAAAAGATTGTAAAAAATTACAAAACTGGATGAGTAGACATAGTTCATTTTTATTTTTATTCCTCTGCAACTACTGTCACATTTTGCCCTACAGCAAAAAAAAAATATTGCTGAGTGTGGTCAGGTGCCCTGATGCTGTACTGGAGTTCCAACCTAAAAGCTTGAAAGAAGATTCCCAGTATTCAGGGAATTTGATATTAGGGTTTACTGAAGTTGTCACATACTTTCGGGGATCTAATTTCACTTTCTGATCTTCAGCAATGGCTGTAATTCTTCATTCAGAAGAGGGAAGAGATTACTTGTCAGCAGTAATCTCTAACACAGATAATGCCATATAAATATTAGGGGCTTATAAGCATGGACAAGGATTAGGAGCAAAGAGAGAGAACAGAAAGAAAACTGAACAGAGCCAAGATTAAGCACTGGGAAGGGCATTGCAAAAGAAAATCCAAGGTCTGTGGCTCAGCTTGTCTTCCCACAGCAGAATGTGCCTTTTCCTGGGTACAATAAGCATGGTTTACACTGATTTCCCTGCTTAAAAACTGCAGGATGTAGAAATACAACATTTTATTTGAGGTGTGAGTATTGTCTTCTCTTTTCCATGGCAAAGGAGAAACTCGGGAAACCACTGATGTTCGAAGGCCCATGAAGCTGGACAGGTTGCTCAAGAACCTCCTCCAGTCAAATTTTAACTCCCACCAAAGGCCAAGAATGCAGTTTAACTGCATTTATTTTATTTTACTGTTGTTATTTAACATGCAGATATTAAATAACAACAGTATGGGAGAGAGCTGAAGCCGACCAGGACATCTTCCTTCCTAGCCAGAGAGAAGCACTGGTGTGTAACCTAGACAACAGATAAACCAGGGAGGGATATCAGAAGGTCTGACTTATTTCTAATAAAATAGCCAAAATAATGCTGTTTTAGCAACAAATTAGCTGAATACAACAACCTTGACGCTCCAGTGGATGCCTGATTAGCAGGCAGGATCCAAAGGTGGTCCTGGAGAAGAGAGGCTG